GACATGTATAATAAACCTTGTTGAAACTATAGGAACTTTCGGATCTGAAATCAGACATTGTGGGCCCCACGGGCCCAGTTGACCAAGTTTGGGCAGTTTGACCCCTTGGTTAACCGTGAGTCTTCAGGGGTAGTTTCACCATTCGAGGAGTACTAGAACTACCTTATTAATGAGTCTTAACTGTTATTTGTGTTATGTTGATTATGTTGGTTTTATGAGATTGTCCTATACTATCGGATGAAATTCTTGGATATTAGTTTAATAATTGAAGTAATGGAATGGATGAGCATGGGATACTTGATTGATGGGTTGTGAAAGTGAGTCTTGGGTCTCGGCTATGATTATTAGTATATAAGTGGACGTTTGTTTTTAAGTGTACTTCGTTCTTCTAATATGGAATTTCTTGCATATTGAGTTTTGATTGAAAATTGATTTGATAGGGGATCTCTAAGGGGTTATTATTTATCATTAATTAATATTATTACGATTATTATTAAAGTATATGAATTGGGTGATATCTGGTTATTTACGAAAGTCTATTATTTTAATTGTGGAATATATGCTTGAGTGTTTAATTTCTATACTACAAATAAATATTTGGGGAAATTGAATTAAGGAAGGGAATATTAGTTTTATAATATTTATATAAGGGTTATAAACCTCACCATCATATGTACCTTCTCTTGTCACTATTCCCATACATGGTGTTGGATTTTTCCGGTGTGTGGGCTTCATTGGTTACTAATTCTAGAATTGATGGATACTTGGAAAACTGTGGATATGGTTTGAAAAACTGTGAATTGATGGATACTTGCAAAACTGTGGATATGGTTTGGATATGTGTGTGTGTGGATTCGTTTTCAGTTGAGATTCTTGAACTTGTGCCTCGTGAGTACTTTGCTCAGGCATGAATGTTGAAATCATGGTTTGGAAAGTGTTGTTCGGCATCATACGCCTTGGATAGGGTATGGTTGCGGGGATGAATGGATAAAAGGAAAGGAACTATTAAAGTGTTCAGTGGTTGCCTTGTCGAATTTGATATTGTAATTGAATCTAAATTTAATAATCAGGCATTATTTTAAATAAGCGTATTCGGCATTAAACAGGCACACCGACGGCCAAAAGAAAGCCTCCTTCTGAAGCAGCAACCACATGCCGAAGCTCTCAACTACATAACCTAGTTTCCAGGGACACGTGTTGCCTCCACAGCAATTTGCACAAAGTCCCACATCGAAACTTTGTGCAAAAACCCCCCTTTTCACTTTCCTATAAATAGGGAACAAATCCTGAGTAAAAGGGGTAACTACATTTTTCACCTTTACCGTTACTCCGCCAAAACTACCACATATAGCTGACTTAAGCATCGGAGAGATTTCGCGCCTCTCACAAGTCAATTGAAGAATCCAAGTTCGAAGCTACCATGGATGCATACAAGCTGGGCTACTTAGACTGCATAAATGGAAATGATCCTTTCTATGCCATTGGAGATAGAGATATCGAGATGCTTTGTCCCGACTTGCTCCCTATGCAAAGTGAGCAGGTTAATGTTGTGAACATGGAAGGAGTTGAAGAGCAAGTGGCCAAAGAGGCAGTAGCTGAAGAGGATGGAGTAGAGGAGGATGTAGCTGATGAGGTGGTGGCAGATGTCACGGATCAGGCAGATGGACTTGCTGAGAGCGTGGCTGATCAGGCGGATGCCAAAGAGGCTGTAGATCAGGGATCTCCTGTCGGCGCCTTGGAGTAGATGAAGACTCCTTTATTTCTTTTCAGCTTTTGTAGTTTTTTTTTTTGTTTAGAATAATTGTTCTTGTTTAACCATCTTCTTTTTGTTGAACTTGACCGGTTGGTCACTTTGCTATGGAAATTTCAGTTATTTTTTCAACTTCAATTTGCATTTTGTCTTGGCTAGTGTCTTGGTCGTGCCTTTCCCTTAGGATATTGACAAAAGTCCCCCTTAAAGGACTCCGGGCGTTTTCTACGTCTCCCTAAGGACGCTTTTGGTCGTCGCCCTGCGTCTCCCGAGGGACGCTGCTTATGGGCAACTATATGACTATCCTGCCCCCCTTAGGAAACGAATAGGAACCTGAATGCCTCCTTTAGGAATCATGGAGACCTCCCTTAGGAAATTTCTAGTGCATCCTGCGTCTCCCTGAGGACGCTTCTTTGCGGGCTGCGTCTCCCGAAGGACGCTTCTGGTCGTCGCCCTACGTCTCTCGAAAGACGCTACTTATGGGCAACTATATGACTATCCTACCCCCTTAGGAAACGGATAGAAACCTGAATACCTCCCTTAGGAAGCATGGAGACCTCCCTTAGGAATTTCCTGTCACACCCTGCGTCTCCCTAA